ACCCAAATGCAAAATTTAGTCGCCACGGGGGATCGAACCCTTAACAGTACCTTATGCTTCTTTTTTGGTACTGCTATAACCGTTCAGCGAAAATGAAACATGGTTTTGCGTTCCCTACATGCGTCCCTACAATATGCACAAAACCGTTTTGAAAAAGCGCACTTGCCCTGAAAGACCTCCCTTGTTAGGGATAGTTTCGCGAAAAGCTCTATGTGCCCATAAATTTCATGAGCACCGCTTGATATCTTCCACAAGTCATGCTTCACCAACGATTAAGCAGAAGATGGGCGAGGGCATGCTCCCTCGATCCACGGTGCACCCCGGCGCTTCACCCTGCCCGGCGTGGCTGCCACCACGTGAGTGGCATCAGCAGAGTCGCAAGAACTGACAATTTTAATTTCTGGGCAACCTGATATTTATGGTAGCCTTGGCTCCTTCACATATTAGGTGTTTTGTCGAAGGTAGGCTAGGGAGCCACCATCTTACCAGGGAAGGTCATAAGGGCGGTCCAGTCATTAGCAGTAAGCTGCATACCGTTGCACGCGCCTCGAGATGGTGAGCTCAAATCTGTCTTCTTAATCTGCTAAACGATTTTTTGAACAGAGTTATAAAGCAAGGAAAGCGCAGCGGTAGTGCCCTGTCTTGCAGGCAAGAGGTTGCGGGGACTGCTTTGTACAGGCAATTAAATGCTAAGTGTTGAGAAATTGACAGATTCAGCTTTTCTGTTACACTGACATTTCAATACAAACAAGGCAGGCTTCTCGAAAAACGGTTTTCACCAACTCTTGCCTGCGAAAGCGCGACACTACCGCTGCACTTTCTTGCTTCATACCGCCGTTCAAATGAACTCATATTTGCAGATGTAGACATAGGCAATTTTGTGCTCAGCGTCTTGAATCGAGTGCAACGGTATACAGCTCACTGCTAATGGCCCTTACCAGCCTGATGACCTCCCTTGGTTAGGCAAAGATTGTTATTTTCAAGTGCGTGAAGATGGTTTTTTACTTGGCTACCGTTAGGGTACAATTTTTGGCACAAAGAGATCTGTAGTCAACCCTATTGTCAATTCTAGAGTAAAAACTTGGGAAGAATTCCTAGAATTGGAGAAGTTGGAAGTTAAGAGAACGATCGAAAGTCCCTCCTTGGTTGAAGGCATGTTTTTGTCCAGTTTGAAGGTAATGAGCAGTGCTATAAGGGAACTCTATGATTATATTCGTTCGATTCTCTAGCATTTGAAAATAGAGGTACAGAAGGGACCGCTAGTGATGGAAAAGAAGGAGAAATCCCGACGACAGTTAGTGAGGACATTGTCCTTCTGGCGATGAAGGAATCCAATTCTAGAGGCTGGTAAACACCTGTGCACTAAGATAAGTTCAGAACAGTAAAAGAAAATTGATGAGAAAGATTAGACCCCCCCGCGTCCGGCCCCCCTCCAAGTGCTAGAGGCAGTATTCGCGGATGGGGGAGGAGGGGTCATTTTTGCGCATGAAAAAACTTCAAGCGCCTTGGCTAGGCACTTGAAGTTAGCAATTCGCAACCTTTGTAAGCACCTCTACGTTACCCACAGAAGAGATTAGTATGCGTGGGTTGATCCATCGTGCATGCCCCTCGAAGGACATCCAACGTCCAGCATTGACGTCTCCCGTAACCTGAGTACGAAGTTTTTGACATATCTTTTGTACGGCGTTTCGACATTACGATGCATTTTTCGAGGACACAGGAAAAACGGGTGGTCGAAAATGTGTAAGGCAACATTCGCTGCGCTCTCCATTCTCCTTCAGTGGAAGCATTTTTTGTGCAGCACAGCAGTTGGATATGGCCCGAAATCTAAACCAAGAAATGGACCTAGAATTGCTCAGCTTGCTAGAGACAGTCCGCACTTTCCATGGAATATCTGAAGACTTGGTGTTGCTAAGAACGGACACTTTTGAAAAGTATTGATGTGCTATCAATTTATGAGGATCAAGCATGCGTAGTTAAAAATTTAACACCGGTTCTAGAGAAAGCAGGGGGACGCATTGGGTGAAACAATCGCTTAGTGAGTTACATAACGAACGGAAATGGTGCTGCAAGGGAGGTTTAAGCTTTGGTTCAGGTACTTCTTGAATGGAAATCGTTTTGGAGTGAATAATCAAAGAGCAACCGTCTGATCCGTTGTCAGCCCATAAGTAAACCATAAAATAAAGGATATTAGCTTCCACCAGCGACTTCTCATGTGAATCTGAATGCGCTAGATTATACGGGACCGTAAGTCAAAGTCCACATTAGCAGCATTTCCAGTGAGACAGCTTGAACTGGAAAATGATAAGGGTTTTCCCGAAAATACACACATCAATTCAATCAACTAGTACAGCGTCTGCGCAGTTTTCACAGCGCATTACATTCATTTCAATTCGGCATGACCTGGATTTACCGAAAAACCACTCACTTTGATCCCTGCCGACGCTCCAATTAGTCGAGGTCAAACGGTCAGACACAAACAAAAACATGCAATGGGAACGGTGCAGCGGTGTATAAAAGCTTGACGAGATCGCTTTAGGACAGGACCATGTTTGAAGAGAAACTTCTCATCGGTGTGGCTTCGGCCTTCTCCACTCTGGCCATCGCCGCTTGCCTGATAGTAGTTCCGTCTCTCTACAACACCATCAATGAGATGCACGACGCGGTCCTCGATGGAGTTACTGTGTTCCGCGCCGAGACCGACGCTGCTTGGAGTCAGAATGATGGACTTCCAAGTGACCGTCGCTCCTCCAGCCAAGCCTCGTGAGAATCCCTTCAAATCCATCTTCCGTAGCAAGAGACAGGCTGGTCTCCCCTCCTTCTGCCAGTGCACTCCTCCTAGAGTGACTTGCCCACCTGGACCTCCTGGACCACCTGGACGACCTGGAGCACCAGGTTTGTTCACATCTTACTCTTGTAACTTGGTTTACGAAGGTTTTTTTTGAATTTCAGGACAGCCAGGAGCACCAGGACAGCCTGGCAATGACGCAACTACCACCTATGCTCCAATCAATTGCCCAAGGCCGTAGCACTGCTTGCGTTCCAGTGCCCAGCTGGTCCTCGAGGAGCACCAGGGCCTAGTGGAGCTCCAGGAAACAGGGGACCTAATGGGCAGCCTGGACGTCCCGGAGGACCCGGTAATGCTGGCCGTCCAGGTCCCGCTGGACCTCCTGGAGACGCTGGAGCACCAGGAAGACCTGGATCCGCAGGTCAGCCTGGACCAGCCGGGAGACCTGGCACAACTGGAAGAGG